TCTCTCTCTCTCTCTCGCACAGACCCGCAGCAGGTCCTTGACGCCCTCCTCTCTCTTTCTCTCTCTCCCTCTCTTTCTCTCTCTCGTCCTCTCTCTCTCGCTCTCTCGTGTACACGGACCCGCGGTGGGTCCATGACACTCCCACCCCCCCTCTTTAACTCCACTCTCTCTCTCCCTCACCCATCTACATTGGCCCACAGCGGGCCCGTGCTCTCCTCTTTTTCCCTCATTCTCCCCTTTTATCTCTCCCCTCCTTCCACCCTACCCTGCACAAGCCTGCGGTGGGCCCGTATCCCCCCTCATCCCACTCTCTTTCCTCTCTCCCCTCTTATCTAACCTCTTCTCTCTCTCCCTTTCCTTACATAACACGGACCCACAACAGGTTCGTGAAGCCTCTCTCTCCTTTCTTACTCCGTCTTCCTTACTCCCTCTCTCTCTCTCTCTCTTATTTCATTCTTGCTCTCTCTTTCTTATTCTCTCTTTCTCTTCTCTCGCACTTCGATCACTCGAGCTGGGGTCCTCCTGAAGCAGCTTCCTTAGAGAGTTTCAACTCTCGGACTACACTAACCACCACGCTTACATAGTGTTTGAGTCGTGAGGGATCTCTCTCTCTTTTTCATCTCTTTCTTCCCTTCACTCTATTTCTCTTTCCCACTCTTGGTTACTTAAAAAGGAAGCTCTTTGGGTTAGTGACATTTTGCCCATGACTCCACTTCCTTTAATCCCTCTGGGTACCAAGGCTTCGAGCCTAGTACCTTCTTTTATCTCCGGTAATACCTCTTAGAAGAGGTTACGTTGGAAGGCTGCCCAATTCTTGGGTCATTCTCTCTCCTCTTCTATCTCATCTTCTTTTTTCTAATCTCTGAACTAAACCCCCACCAATTCACTCTCATTCTGCTCTTTCTTCTCTTCTTCTATATCACTCTAACCCTTAAACTAGAATCCCTATTCCACACATTTATAAGGAGGAGGTTGCCAAAAGCGAATTCTAAGAGCCACTTTTAATGAGAGTCCAAGTGAGGTATCAACGACTGAGGGGGCTGAATTCAAACCGCACTGCTGGACAACTGGAGGGCTTTCGTATGATCTAAGTGGGCTAAGGCCCGGACGTGTCCCACAAACTCAACCGGTGAGGTAGGTGTTCGAGTCCACCTCTTTACCGCATTAAAATCCTCTCACTGTTGGACACCTATCCTCACGCGAGCGCACACGCACACACGGGTCAAGCGGTTGTTTGAGAGGGGGTTCATCGAGCCCGAACCTCCAAGCTAGCCTGAGCGACGGTAAATCCAAGCCCGACCAATATTGTCATCATTTTACTATTTGATGATTATTTTCTAAATATTTTATTCTTGCGCAAGTTGGTTAGATGTATACATGCTCCAAATTTAACATAAATCGGATTTGTAGGAAAATATTAAAATTCAAAGTTATCAGACAACTGCGACCCTGTGATGGACTTCGGGCGGTGATGAGCCAAGAGTGAGGTACTATGAAAATTCACTAATATGTGTTT